GCAATTCCCGCCAGTTCCAACGCTTCGCCCATTCATTTGAATGGGGTGACGTAGGATATTTTCAAACTTCGCCGAACTGCATTGTGGGTAGCATGGCAAGGCGTTGCAAGCATCGCGAGCGTCTATCGGTGTCAAAAGTTGAACAATGTTCAACTTTTGAGGCTCGATGCTTGCTCGAAGCTGGCGTCAGCCAATCAAATCCCGTTTTTGCAATTCCCGCCAGTACAAGCGCTAGCCAATCAAACCGCGTGCAAGCTGGGAGAGCCAGACCGCAGTTCATTTCCTCATATTCCAAACGAGAAATTACGGTAGCAAATCACCCGGTTCTTTCCGACCAGAACTATTTACCGGGATACAAACCGGAGGAACCAGGCATGGAGGGAGGTGGCAGAGACAGTGGGTGTAACTGGTAGGTTTTCGCCTGTTTGGGGATTTTATATCCAGTTTACTTCGTTTTAACATTGCTATTGCTTTGTATGTCGGGGGCGGGAGATTCATGTGATTGGTTGTTGGTCGCGTTGCTCGCAAAAAATCTCCAAGCTTCAGACACGCCCAGCTTCAAGATTTTTTGATGCCTGTAGTGTAGACGGGCCGTAACAAAGTACTAATAGATTGCTTTCCTGCAATGTTAACTACTGTATGTTTAAGCACTTATTTTAACTGATATTATACATATGTATTATACTCTTATAATATAAGAAATGTGCAGAATATGACAGTTTAATGGTGGAGGTATACACGCATATTGATAGATGTCTTGTAATGCACTGTTGAGGAACCTGTGACCAAGGTTTTTCATCTCCGACCTTGTCAGGTATTGAACAATCAATAAATAAAGAACACAGAATTTGTGTGATTATACTAAATAATTTACAAATAAACACCACTGCATATTTACAACTACATGCTGATGTAACGCAAATGTTTCCAACTTAGGATCAATAAAGTATATCTTATCTCTTTCGACTCCACTTTGAGCGATATAATTACTAACAAAGCACTTATATACTAATAAAGGACTGGCTTATATAAAGCCAGTTGAGTAGCACTTGAAATGTTTTAGCTCTATGAAACCTGATGTACTTATATGATTCTGTTTTATTCAAGTTTGTATCTTGTTGGTCTAATGCACTTATTGTAAGTCGCTTTGGATAATGTAATGTAAGATGATCGATGGCTATGCCATATTTGCCTCTGAACCTTGACAAGTGCATGTTTCAGGCTTATCAATTAACAACAGGAGGGGTCACAGACATAAGACCAGCTGTTAAATAAAGCTCTTCTGACCTTAGCTGTCATGTGGGTATATTAATGCTGCCCATTATGGGCACAAGCAATTTTCACCCATTTATTAATTATATGTTTTAAATTTGAGTGTTTCCTATCCCCTAAACCTCCAGGGATGTACACAGTTTAATACTGGCAACTTCTTATTATGGGAAATACCAAAACGTCTTTTAAAACTACAATTCCCAGTAGAGACGTGCCATAGAGCATGTTGCAAAACACACAATAGCCAGCATGTGTAGTTCTGGGGACGGAGTGGACTCGTTCAAATCCAGTTTTGGACAGTCTGCCGTGGTTCCATCCCATTTCAAAGTGTTGTTCAACGCTCGGCGTAACCCTCGGCGCACACTCAAACATCCAATCACAGAGCTTGAGGACTATCACGGGGTTTGTCAAGCGAAGCGGAGAGAATACTTACTTCCGGGTGTAAAATTCTCTAAAGCAACTACTATGAGCTGCTCCGACCCTCGGTCCTGACGGACTCCAACTTGTGTTTATTAATAAACACAAGGATAATTATGTGTTATTGTTGAGTAAATAACAGTGTGTGGTTTAGAAAATAATACAAAATTAGAAGGAAAAAACGATGAAACAATACAGATTTCAGTATTCTGAGCCCCTACTCTCCCCATAATTGACGGCAACAAAAGTCCTACATTATTCAATTAAAATGAAGAAGTAAAAACAATAAGTGTGGCTTGATATTGAGTAAGAAAAAGGTTGATAAACGCTGTGAGAATGGATCTGCGGAGAGCATTTCGCCGCGATCCCAACTCCTCTATTACCAACGTTCAGGGAGCTCTATGTAAGTCAATGGGACGCCCTGCCCGTTGAAAACTGACTTCCAAGGGGTACCCTGTACGTAAGAGTGACGGGGAGGGGCCCTGACCGTCCGTCAACATGTGGGGTTGGGAGTGAGAACATGTTGCATATCTAAGACCATTTACAAGTAAAACACAAAGAAAAGAACGTCATTTTACTATGCAAAAGCGTTAGTTTACATTAACTATCACATTTTTTGCCAAAAAAGATCTGTAATTTTACAAGAAATGTTTTTGTAATTCCATTAAATCTTTTTCTTTTAACATAATAGTTAGAATAAAGTCATACACCTCTAAAAAAACAGAATAAATGTTTTTTTAAATGATAAAAAAAGACAGAAGATTAATGTAATTTTAAAAAATACCGTAAATTCAAGATTCAAGACTTTATTGTCATTTGTACATTATCTTCAGTATAGATATGTCAATGAAAAACTGAAGTCACATGCTCCTCCAACAGTGCAACATATATATAGAACATAGAACAAATAAAACAGATAAAATAGTGCAAGTAAATACAAATACAATAGAATAGAAATAGTGCAAGAAGAGCCTATATGCAAGTATACGGAATATGATTGCACTGCCGTACCAGGCCGTGATGCAGCCAGTCAGGATACTCTCTATGGTGCACCTGTAGAAGATGCAGAGTATCCTGGAGTCCATGTTGAACTTCCTCAGCCTGCGGAACAATTACATCATAATGTCCAGGGACTTTTCACACGGAGAAAAAGCATACACATGTTGAGATGAAACTGCATTTCTTTTTTTTAAAAACCCACAGGAACAAATTCCAAACTTCATTGCATCACAACAGAAGGTGTTCATCTGTTGAATAACTGTAATGATGAGCTGAAATTAGAGATGATCCGATCACGTGATCGGGGATCGGAGCCGATCACGTGATTTTCAAAAGATTGGAATCGGGAGAAAAAAATCGGGGATCGGGAATTATTATTATTTTTTTTTATAAAATATTTTTATTATTTTATTTAATGTTACAAAACAAAAATGACCATGTTCACGTCTTAAAGTCATCCTGAGGACTTAGTTTTGGTTTAAAATTACACAACATCATGTATGTGTTGCTTCTTTTGGGCTTGTTTTCAGACCTGGTTGCTTATTTCTGTCAAATCTGGCAACAGAGTGGGCAGGGCGCAGTGTCTAATAGTAGCAGTAAGCTAACGAGAGGCTACGTTCAGCTGGTGACTCGGGAGTCGGGACAGAGAAAATGTCAGGAGTTTGGAAGTATTATAAAATTGAAAGCGAAGGCAGTGTAACAGCCAGATGCAATGTTTGCAAGGCGGAGGTTCCGCGTGGTGGAAAGAACAGAGCTACGTTCAACACGACCAATCTAATACGCTACCTGAGAAACAAACACCAACAACACGACGAGTACACAGCGGCCACTCAGGTAACGGCACTGAAACAACCGACACTTTCAGAGACTTTTAAAAGGAAAGAGAAACTGCCCCAGAACAGTGAAAAAGCCAAAAAAATAACAGCTAAGATAGCTGAATTCATTGCGTTGGATGACCAGCCGTTATCTGTTACCTTTGTTTTCTCTTAATGCATTGCATAAAGATCGGATCGGGAAAAATCGGTATCGGCAGATTGTCAAAATCAAATGATCGGAATCGGATCGGGAGCATAAAAAGGTGATCGGGACATCCCTAGCTGAAATACTGTGCAACTTTATCTAAACTAAAACTCTCATTTAGAAACCAAATCCTGAATGGTTCTGAGCAGGACCTGTGAAGTGATGCTTGCTATTTCTTGTCGTTGTAAAAGTTATTTCTTTTTGGTTGTTTTGTGCAAAAGAATGAATCCAATATCACGGACGCTGATGACGATGACTTAAACTTGTATTTTCATGAACAATGTACGCTAGTGGGGGTAGGACCAGAAACGTTTTTAAGCTTCTTCTTGCCCTTTTAGAACATGATAGAAACTTTGAGAATACTTTTTTTTATACCTTGAATTATTATTATTGTTTGTTTCGTTTCTAACATGTTCAATACATTGACTAATACAATTTAAAAACAAGAGCCGCTGTTTTGGTGATGCTGTTAGTGTGATGAGTCCATGTCAGGTCCTCAGTGAAGAGTCCATGTCAGGTCCTCAGTGATGAGTCCATGTCAGGTCCTCAGTGAAGAGTCCATATCAGGTCCTCAGTGAAGAGTCCATGTCAGGTCCTCAGTGATGAGTCCATGTCAGGTCCTCAGTGAAGAGTCCATGTCAGGTCCTCAGTGAAGAGTCCATATCAGGTCCTCAGTGAAGAGTCCATGTCAGGTCCTCAGTGAAGAGTCCATGTCAGGTCCTCAGTGATGAGTCCATGTCAGGTCCTCAGTGATGAGTCCATGTCAGGTCCTCAGTGAAGAGTCCATGTCAGGTCCTCAGTGAAGAGTCCATGTCAGGTCCTTAGTGATGAGTCCATGTCAGGTCCTCAGTGAAGAGTCCATGTCAGGTCCTCAGTGAAGAGTCCATGTCAGGTCCTCAGTGATGAGTCCATGTCAGGTCCTCAGTGAAGAGTCCATGTCAGGTCCTCAGTGATGAGTCCATGTCAGGTCCTCAGTGAAGAGTCCATGTCAGGTCCTCAGTGATGAGTCCATGTCAGGTCCTCAGTGATGAGTCCATGTCAGGTCCTCAGTGAAGAGTCCATGTCAGGTCCTCAGTGATGAGTCCATGTCAGGTCCTCAGTGAAGAGTCCATGTCAGGTCCTCAGTGAAGAGTCCATGTCAGGTCCTCAGTGAAGAGTCCATGTCAGGTCCTCAGTGATGTGGACACCGAGGAACCTGAAGCTGCTGACTCTCTCCACCGTAGTCCCATTGATGGTGATGGGGGCGTGTCCCTCTCCCTGCTGCTTCCTGTAGTCCACAATCAGCTCCTTGGTTTTGCTGACGTTGAGATGGAGGTTGTTATCCTGGCACCAAGATGTCAGGTTTTCTACCTCCTCTCTGTACGCCGTCGGTGATAAGGCCGATGACGGTCGTGTCGTCAGCGAACTTCACGAAATCTAAGACCATTTACATGTAAAACACAAAGTAAACATGTCATTTTACTTTGCAAAAGCCCAAGTTTACATTAACTGTCAGATGTTTTGTAGAACAAAAATCACAAATATATATATTTATTAGGGCTGTCAGTCGATTAAAATAGTTAATCGCGATTAATCGCACATTTTGTATCTGTTTTAAATGTACTTTAGAGGAATATTTTTCAAGTTTTTAATACTCTTATCAACATATGAGTGGACAAATATGCTTTATGCTAATGTTTATTATCATTTGAACATTACAAATATTCGTCTCAATTCAACCTGGAACCTCTCTCATACAATAATACAATACAAATGGTGTGTGTGTGTGTGTGTGTGTGTGTGTGTGTGTGTGTGTGTGTGTGTGTGTGTGTGTGATGGATCGTTGGAGCTATGTGCAACTCAAGGCATATGCTCGAACGGGAGCTGCCTGGACGCTGCAATCATGTTGCGCAAAATCCGTGCTGAGTGTGCTGACTTTTCGTACAATGTCCCACTGTCTGGCTACCTGCATAAAGTCAAGTGCTCGGCGCAGTTGTGGCGAAATGTTTTCATTTAAACAGCTCCTTGTATCCGTTAGCGCAGCTAGCTAGCACCAGATGCTAACAACAACAATGCACGTAAGGTCTCTCTCTCGCTCGCTCGGGCCACACATACACACACCCTCCTAGTCCTGTGGTCTGCCACAAGCGGGCGGCAGGAGCGGGGCTGTCAGCATCAGCTTGTAGATGGTATTTTAAACTCGATACGCTCTAAAACTACGGGGCGACCGAGGAAAAAAAATACACATTACGTTAATCGCGTTAAAATAATTAGTGGCGGTAAAAAAAAATTGCGTTAACGCGTTAAATTGACAGCCCTAATATTTATATATACAATATATTATTGAAAATAATAATATAAATCACAAAAATAAAAACAATAAATAAAATATATTATATATAGCAGAATAGACCGGCAATGAAACATTTCAACATTTAACAAGCCAACATTTTCCCAACATTTTGTTCAAAAGATAACAATTATAAACACTAAAGAAATCTACCAGTTTTGTGTGTGCGTGTGTACATGACTATGTGTGTGTATTTCTACTCTCTCCATTCAAAGTCAGCGACGTTTGTAATTAATGAATGCACCTTTATCGAGTGCTGTTTTAGTTTTTCTTCCTTCCTCTCCACTTTAGTCCCCTTGTCCGAATTGATCTTGAATAGGCACCTGTTAAGACAGAAGTACACTTACATTTAGTGTTTAATTACAAATCCTGTGGATGATACAGCCATTAATTGTCTTTACAGTTACAGCTTGAAGTCAAAGGGCAATGCTACTCTTAAATGTACTTTTCATTAACTGTTATGATCATATCTGTACATTTAAAGCATTGGTTTGAATAGAGTTTTGTTCTATAAAGTCGTCATTTGGCATCACTATCACACTGGACAGTATCGCAGCAGGTCTGTAAACATGAGCAAGCGGTCACTTGAAGATCATTTTAATGTGGGTAGCTACGAGTACAATCTTGAGAGGTTTGTGTGTAACTGGGGCAGATGAGGTGCGTGTCAGCAGCAGAGTGAGCGGTGTAAAAGCATCGTAGTTAACCGAAAGAAGTTTGAATGTGTTTGTTCACTGCAATAATACCAGGTTCCGGTGCCCATCCCATTTCGGTGCAAGAAATAGTTGCTTCTTCCTCGTCAGATTTCATTTTCATCAGGTGCTGACATTCACGCTAAGCTTTTACTTGATGGTAGAAGTACAATATTCTAATTATACTTGTGTGTTTCTCTGTTATAGACCACACACATACACTAAACCTGCTCCACGGCTGTATTACTGTGCTGTTGTGTTGATATGAATAAGTTAAGGAAATTAACCGCTACCAAGAATCTTGTGTGTTCTTACCGACACCCCAAAGTGTAAGTCACTCCGAGTGAAACCTTCCCCTATACAGTCCTACCTGAATCCCTATTCAATAGGACTCCTTGAAAACAATTCCTTTTTCCAAATAACTGAATTGGTTTTCTTTTGTTGTCGACTAAGGGCCCTCTTTCCGTCATTTTCATTGAGCTGAAGTAAACATACCACCGATTGGCTAAGAGTGAGTTTGGGCTTTTAGGGAGGAGCCAAAGCACACCACTGCAAAGGAAAGGGGTACGCTGAATTACAACCCAAGACAAAACGAGAGCATAATGTGAAACAGAATGCAGCACAATAATCTTTTTATCTTGATTATCTTGTATTGGCAGGAGCACTTATCGTGTGTCAGAAATGTGCACAATCCTCTACTCTGTGGTTTAGGATGGAATGACTTAATAATTACAATTCAAGTGTTACCTCTGCAAGAACTCCAGGGTAGCTCCCAGTTCTGAGCGATAACTAATGTTGACGCAGTAATATGCTGCAAACATCAGCATCAGGGCGTCGACAACATTCAGGACACTGCCAATGACGATGGTCTGGTCCTCTGCTATCATGTAGTGTCCAGCTGTCAGGGGAGAACTCCCTTAAGGTACACAAAGGAAAAAGTCACAAAAGATTTATAAATCCAATTTTTTTTAGTGCAGATTGTTGTTGTTTTTTTACTGGTGATCATATGGCCAATTGTATTTTAGGAATGATCAGCTCCTGCAGCTTTCTTTTCTTTCCTAAGTGTTTAAGTGTTAACAGTGTAGAAAATGTCACATCATAAAGGGATAGTTTGGGTGTTTAAAGTGGGGTTTTATAAAAGGTACAGTACTTATCTATAGTCAGTGTATTACCTGGAGTAGATGATGGCCGGCAGGGGCGGACTGGGAAACGGTGGACCTCTGTCGCCTGTCAGCGCAACTTCAATGATGCCGTTTAAAAAACAGACAACCGACCGTTCGGTGATTCTACAGATGGCCAGTCCGCCCCTGCCGGTACCGAAGTGGGCCGAGCGGCCCATCGGGATTCGTCCCGAACGTCCCGATGGCCAATCCGCCACTGATGGCCGGTATGCCCCGAGCTTGGAGATGCAGACAGGAGCAACCACCTGGAAGCAAAGCAATGTACTGCTCTGGACCAAGCCCCCAGGAAGTGCGCCGGAGTCTGATGAGAATATTCGTTGTGGCCAAACGGCGGTACTACACTTCCTTTAGGTTGCTGGGCCCGGAAACACTTTTTCCCATTGATTTACATGGGGAAAAAGTGGTCTGTAACTCGTTGGATAATTTTTTTTAAACTAAATAAACAACCCAGTAGGAACACTTGTATAGCCCTTATTAAAAACATTAATTCCTCAAGTTGTAAAAATGTGCTAATAACGTTATTCTGAGAGTTATTTCCCTCTGCATTATGAACGCGCATCTAACCCACGGGACTGCGCCGCCCGGCACGTTCAAGTTACGTGTTCAGCACTACATCAGGGCTCTCGACTAACTTTTTTCCCCATCCTCCCGGAACCGTCCCGAAATACAATCTAAGCCGTCCCGAAATTAATGTGGACCGTCCCGAATTTAAAATGTTAGTTTTTCTACATTATCATTAGTTAAAATCATTTACCTTTAATTAACATAAATAAAACATCATACAAATCATTAGATGATAATTCATCAACCTTTTTATTTGAGTAAATCATTCAATCACATAAACAAAGGCCAAATATATTTAAACAAACACACAAACGAGAAAATTACTGAATCCAATCAAGTCCCATCCAATTAACAAAAAAATCCAACACTGTCCTGAAGACAGAACCCAGAGTAACCACTAACCAGGATAACAATCTGTAACACAGTCAGGAGACCTTTACAAACTGCCCCGCCCCCTCGCACACAGACGGGAGAGAGAGATCTCGCCTGGATTGGAAAGCTTGAAAATACATCATAGACGCATGTTGTAGTCTTATTGCATATTAGAAACTAAAACTGCGATATAATGTGTATGTAGCAATAATACATCTTTTTTTAAATGTCTCCAGTACCGATAAAAAGTCCGATAACGTTGGAGCTTAACGTTACCACTGTCTTTAATAATTCCGGCCCGGGGCCCGTTTAATACCGGGGCTCGGTACCCATCCCTACATGGGGAGAGGCGCAGCATATTGCTCAGGACTAAATACGATGGAGAGTTCTCATCTCAGCCTTATTACCCATAGGGGATGAAGAGGAGTAAGTAAATAAAGAGGCCGGCGCTCCAGGGTCTGGTTCTGCTGTGCGTTTTTGTGATGTAACGGTAAAACATTTCAGAATTCCTCCATGGGATGCCATTGTACATCACTCAACCCGCGAAATACACACACTCAGTATATAGCTAGACCCGCGAATTTGCGGGCCAGGAATTCGCGAGCACAGCCAGCGGCACAGCTGTAGCTACATGTGTGTGTATTTTGCGGGTTTCTAAATGTTTTGTGCGTGTGTGTTTATGTTGACAAGGAGGTTTAATAACTGTGTGCTACACACAACGTGCAGTCGGTTTCATTTTCATCGCCGTTTGTAGTAGAGTTAGCAGGGTATTTTTATTTTAACTCTCGTCCCAAATTCGTCCCAAAATTATTTGTATCTTCCCCGACACTATTTTTTTCGGCCCCGGGACGACGGGACGTCCTTAAGCTCGAGCCCTGACTACATGCGTTTGTCTTTACCCATGGATGCACAATAAGAACGGACCCATATCGCCTTAATGGATATATTGCACATGTTTGCTGTAATTCATCATTTGTAAAATATGATATACTACATGGGCTGTATGATTAAATCTTGTACCGTAAATGTTGTATTAAATAAAGTTAATATTACCGACGTTAGATTAACGCCCCTGTAGCTTATTATTGCACTAAGAAGCTTGTTGCACTGTGTATATATATATATATATATATATACAGTGCAATAATTCTTTCATGCTAAATGAAGCTCTGTTGGATATCACTAGATCGTAATTTAAGTACATAACGATTGATGTGTACATTAGGATAATTACTAGCTAGCCGCTAGCTGCCGCCTCATTAATATCAAATCCATCATAATAACAATCCATTACCATGCTGTCATGAACGCACGGTGCTGTTACGTGTACACAAATTGACGTGCTTGATGTGAACGAGCATTTTGGTTAAACTTGCACATGCGCTATGATACGGGTACATACGGGTACTTCTCAGGCATGCCGGGTAATCTGTGACGTTTCACTCTCTCAAAAGTTGGGCCATTTTATCATCATGCGCTAATGAGCAACTATCATAGGAATGAATGAGGCCCCGCCTCCCACGCTGTATCCAGTTCTTATTATACATCCATGCTCTGGACAGGGTCAGCAGAAAAACATATTTTAGCCACCTCTTGATGATTTCCATATCCTTTCACTGTTTGCATAGCAATACCACATAGGACATTGAGAATTGATAAAACTTGTAATATGGCAAGAAATCTTACTTGAGGATCTCTGGCTGCTGTTTATTCTTGGTAGGTTGCAATTACTGGTACTGCAGCTAACAGCTGAGGGGAAAAAAGAGACACAAGTTTGCACATGCTTGAGCAAAAATAACTTAAATAACACGGCAGCAGCTTTAAGTACATTAATACCACTTCAAGTATAAGACCTGAGTACTTCTACTCTTATTCAGGTACAAGATCTGAGAACTTCTCCCACCTCTGTTTATAGCCTTAACATAGGATCTAAAAGATATGGATAATGTGCATGTAACATAACGTGTAACATTATACCCACGAAAAAATCGATTATAAAACTAAGGATTGAGCTAACATTAGGAGTTAGTACAATGTATGCTAGGTAGCTAGCTAAACTATTTATTAAATAATATTGCGAAAAAGTAACTCTTAAACATTCACTGCACATCACGCTCAGCCATTCGAGTACGCATCTTGCGCATCATTAAAAAAGAACACCCTGCACGTAATGATGGCATAGAACAGCTCACTTTCAAAGCATGGTAGCTAGCTGCTACCATAGATAGCTAGCTGCTACCTAGCTATGGTAACGTTAGCTAACATTACTTTGTTTTCGGTCATTAAACAACATGTATACCATAGCTAGGACTTTGAGGTTTGCAATGTTTTAAGTCTCGAGTGTTTTGAATCCGTTGATAAATAGTTTTTACCGTTACCTCTCAAAGTGCTGATTTCTCTCCTCTGGGCGCGCCACGTGCCGTGCTCTTCACCTCATGCGTGGTCTGCGTGGTCTCTGTCGTGTCAGTGCCTTTGCGCATGCGCTCTGTCTGCCTCAGCGCATGATGGGTGCGTGCAGCAGAAGCCTCGTCTCTGATTGGCTGCAAATCGATTGCCCTGAAAATCCTTTGATGAACATCCAATCCTTGTATTATTTTAAGAATTGGTAACACCACACCATAAAGATTCATTTAAAAGTAAAAAAATGGGGTGCAAACTATTTACATTGCAATTATAATTGTTTAATTCTTTGGATGTTATTTTCTTAATTTACAAAATGACAATGTAACTAGTTGATTGATACATAATAAAACAAACACTGAAGGCCTTCCAAAGACAGAAGCAACATATGTTATAAGACTTCTTTATTGTCAGTTTATTCTATTAAATTGAGAATAGAGAACACTGATAACTAATGTTGGTGCACATTTATATAAGTTTGATTATGATCAGGAATATCCCATCTTTGCAGTCCTGTCCCAAGTACAAGTTAAGTAGGTACAATGTGTACATATAGTTTACTATCATTTGTAGTCATGCATAGTACTGCCTTCCTGATTGCTTTATTTTTGAGAAACCTATTCTGCACCTACCTGGGTTTTAAGAGAGTCCAATACCCTATGAGACTGTTCAGTCTCATAAAACATGCTCAATTTATTTTTTGAAAAAACAAGCTCACAATAAAGTCAGATGGGAGATCTACAGAAGCAAAGTGTGATAGACAAAGATGCATTCCTATATTAAACAAACAGAAAGGAAAACGTTGTTGTTCCATGAGGCAGTTGTAGCCATAGCGATGGATTAACCTTCAACTACCTGCTGCCTGAAATCCCTGTGACATCACTGTAGATTGTTGTAACCAACTAGCTGTGTGGGACATTATCACAATACATATTTAAGTTAATTGACTTGGATTGTAAAGGTCTTTCGCTGTAGTTACTAGTTTTGTCAACATGCTTTGGTGAAGGCCTATTCTTTCAATATGATGGATATTATTAGACGTCTACAAGGACAACATAGGTTGTTTGTTTTACTGTAATTTCAATGCTAATACAAATTTAGCATAGTGGTAGCACTAACTGCTAACAAGGTTTTGATATTCAGAGTCTGGCTGTTAGTGCTTGCTAGCATGTTATGCTATGGGCTTGATTGTACATGCTAGTGTGATAAGGCCTATGGAAGATGCTAATGTTATTTAACTTCTAGATCCTTTCATTGTTCACTTACAGTGAAACTCAATATGTTTTTTGCATACTGTCTGCCAATCACTCTGTTTTTTAAATATTGAGTTAAAGTC